GGTTGATGTTTTCGGCTCTTATACACCTCAACCGCACAGATTCATATAGCCAGTCGCCACACCGCCAGAGTCAACGGTCGTGGAGTTGGATTTCCTTTCCAGGTTTGCAGGAGGCCCTAAGCTCTTAACCCCAAATCCGGGTTGTCGGACATAAAAAGTTTTTCAAAAGTTTTTAGAAGTTTTTCCAAAGCCTTTGAATGTCAGCTCATGAGTACCCTCCAAACCTAAAGCCACAATCCCCAACCTCTCAGTCAGCTTCCAACCGAAGCGTTAACATTCTCCGATACCCTGAAGCCTAAGCCGCAAAACCCCAACTGCAAAGCCTAAACCCTAAACCCAAAATCCTTAAACCCCAAACCGCTAACCCTGAATGTTCAAATCTGCTGGTGTCAACCCCGAGAAAGCTGACCAGGACCACGTGCTCGTCCCAGCGTTGACCATGGTCGTCTGCATCTTAGAGCCTTTGGGTTTAGGGGTTCGGGTACCTAAAAGTGCTACTGTCAAGATTATATAGGTCTTTAGGTTTAGGGTTTGGGGTTCAGGGTTTAGGGTTTAGGGTTTAGGGTTTAGGGTTTAGGGCTTAGGGTTTAGGGTTTAGGGCTTAGGGTTTAGGGTTTTGGGGTTATGGTTAAGGGTTTAGGGATCAGGGCTTAGGATTCTGGCAGCCTGTGGCTTTTGGGCTTTTGAGGGCTGCCGCGACTTGCCACTGAGGGTTTGGGGTCTATTAGGGACCCGAAAATAGGATATCCCTACCTTATTGGGCTTCATTTTAAGGGGGTTTATATGGGATATCCCTATCCTAATTCTTGCTTATGTGCTTTTTTGGGGCCCTAGTCTAGGAATGCTGTTTTCAATTCGCTGTGCCAATGCGATGCTGCAATCCGTCAGGGCTCCTCTGCGTCGGAAAGTGCACTACTTGGAGGCCCAGGGGACGTAGTAAGTCGTTTATAAGTAGGGTTATAATTGGGGTAAGTCCATTTAGGGTACTTATAACTCTACATATAACGTACTCACTAAGTCCCCTGCCCCTCCAAGTAAACCCTAGCCGCGGAAATCCAATTCGCAGTGATCAGACTCCGGGTGAAGATGGAGCTCCGCACACACAGGTCAACCCATACATGGCTGGCGACTCCTGCTACCTATAGCTTCCTGTTGATGCCGCGCCAAGCTCTTCCGAGGCCGTCGCCAACATGGTGAAGATGGTGGGTGCCAAGCCGATCTACTGCGATTCTGCTGAGGTCTCGAAGCAGACGCTTTCGGTGCTTCGGGGTTGGAGTTGCAAGAAGCAGCATCCAAACGGGTTTGTGTGAGTTGGTGTCCTACATCCTGCCTGTAGATCCCATTCTCAAAGAAATATGCAATGCGCCCTTTTGGTACTCGGGATCTAGAATCTAGGAGATAACGGTATGTTCTTCTGTCCCGATTGAAGAGCTTCCAGTCTCAAGGGCAGGCAGTGTCCATACTGTGCGAGATACTCGTTTGTCCGAATTTTCACATAGACTGCTTGATCAGAATTTCCCCGTACATGCGCGTTGTTTTGCCCTCGCTCTATTTGCAGGAACTCCTGAACGCCGCTAGAAGATTCTTCGGACATGTACATGTGCCTTCAATCTTGTTGGGCATGTGTTGCAGGTCATGCATCACGCAAATCAAATTTCATGCGCCACACAAATCAAGCTCATGCTGATTTTCGGTGCAGTGTCTGCGCATCGAGATGCAACTGCATTACTTGGGAACCCCCCGTCCCTCGTCCCCCAAGCCCCCACCTTGCCCGCCACTGCAACAACCACCACCGAAAGCACCTCCGCGACCACCAGCTACTGCTGCTGCTGCTGCTGCTGCCACTGCAGCGACTGCTCGTACTACGAGAAGTACCACGGCAGCTGCTGCCCCTCTCGTCAAGCATGCTTCTTTCGAGGAGTCACCCAAGCCCAAAGTTCTAAACCTAAACCCAAAGCCCAAACCCAGACCCCCAACCCCTACAGTAACCCTCTTGAACGAACACCGCCAAGAGGGCTCCGTGAACCCGGGAATCGACGACCTTCTCAAAAAGGCCACGCCCAGGACCCAAGGGGTACTATGAGGGTTTCTACAAGGGCTTGCTGGAAGGAATGGTTGCTTTAAGGGTTGTCTTGAGGAGTTTACTATAGGGTTTGCTATAAGGGTTAGTTTGAGGGTTACTTCAAGGGTTTGCTGGAAGGGTTGCTGTTAGGGTTTGCTGAAAGGGTCACTAGAGGGGTTGCTTGCTATAAGGATTAAAACAGGGTTACAAGTATGGTTACTAGAGGCACAAGGCTTGCTGTAAGGGTTACTACAATGGCTCACAAAACCCTAAACCCTAAACAGGACCAAGGCCGTGATCGTGTGCCACACCTACGGCGGCTCGGCTTTTGGGTTCAGGATCTGTTTTATAAGTCACTCTTGCGGCTGGGCTTCGGGCGAAGTCGTGGCATCGGGCTTCACTTGGAGGATCATGGGACTTAGTAAGTAAGGTTATAAGTACCTTCAATGGGGTTATAAGTAGTTATAAGTAGAGTTACCCTAATTATAACCCTAGTTACTAAGTCCCATGATCCTTTAAGCAGGGTTTAGGGTTTGGGAGTTCAGGGCTTCGGTTTAGGGGCTCCGCGGCTTGGAGCCGCGTTGGAGGGTCCAGGGTTAGGAGGTTTCGAATCGAGGGGTTATGGTTTGGGGTAGGTGGAGGAGTTTATTGCTTAGAGTTTGAGGGCGGGCTAAAACCCTAAACCCTCAACCCAAGCCTTAGGTGGGCCTTCGTTTTGCGGCGTGGCTTCGGGTTGTTGGGTTTCCGGTTGTCAAGATTGGGGCCCCATTCAACGAGCCGCAAAGCCTGAGGCCCGAACCTAAGCCCAAAACCCTACCTATCGTCTCCGTTGTAGTTCCTTCTTGGGGGATACCTTATAGGATCCTAGACAAAACACTGGTTAAACCAAAAGAAGGAACCACAATGGAGACTGCAGGTAAGCTATAAAGTGGTCTTTAGATATCGTGGCGCTTTAAGTCAACACCTAAACCCAACCAGCATGCAGAAGCTGGCAGAAACTTCAGAACCTGTCGCTAAGGCCCTTAATGTAGGGGCCATAATAATTACCTATACTTGTTTGGGGTTTCCTTATTATAATCATACTATAATGGGCCCCAAAACCCTATTCTAATGATTAAGGCCCCTATATTAGGCCGTTTCTCATTGAGTTAAACTTAGAAGAGTTTAAGATTTTGAGGTCATGGTCAAGTGTATGCTGGAGGGTTTTCGGTTTGGATCTGAGTTTGAAAAAGCTAAATCCGGAAGTTTACACTTTACACACACACACACACACGCACGCACATACACAAACACGAGTATACAGTATGCATATCACATATACATATCTACATGTTGTATACGCATACACACTCTCCTTTAGACGCTAGCCGAAGCCCGAAGCGTGTGAGTGCGCCGGCGCTGTCTCAGGCGTGGCATGCAAGGACATCGAGAAAATTACAGCGCTCTGCAAAGAGAAGGGCTGGTGGCTCATAGAGGACAGTGGTTATTATAGGTGCCTTAATATAACATGTGTATATATATACAGACACTTTTTTGAGGTTCCTTATTATGATTAGGGTATAATATTTCCCAAACCCTATTCTAATTATTAAGGCCCCTACATTAATGGTTTGGGGTTGACGGTTTAATGGGGTTGAGGATTTTCTGAGGGTGGGGCCGAGCGCAGAGCACTTGCGGCAGCCGGCACCAGCTACGGGATAGCCCACATAGGGGTAATAATTACCAGTATTATTTCGGAGGGTCTCTTGTGATTCTTGAAGTATAATGGGCCCCAAAACCCTATTCTAATTGTTCAGGCCCCTAAACCCAAAGCAGGCACGCATATTGGTGCAATGGGACTACTAGCATTCGGAGTTGATAAGTTATGGCATGGCTCAATATTTTTGACTTCACAGGTGTTTCTCAACTGTCTATCTTGACCAGCGGATTGTGCTTTCGTGCTGATTCCTCATGAAGGTTGTTATGTTGCACGAAATCCATGGCTACTTGCTTTTGAAGCTTTCTTGCTTCTGTGTCCACGGCCCGTTTGTGTCTGCTTGTTGGAACTGCTGAGTATCGGACCAACTTATCACCAGTGACTTTGCGATGTTTGTTTTGTGCTCATTTTGCGCCTTCGGCTCTCGCTAGTTTACTTTCAGAAACTGCATGTCAGGACACTTGTCAATGCAAAGGACCACACTTGCATCATCATCATCATCGTCATCATCATCGTCATCATCATCATCATCATTCTTATTAACATCTGAGTCATGCTCATACAAATCCCCGTTCGCACCTTCCTCCTCCCCCCATGACCAGCCATTGCCTGCATTTTCTCTTGAACAGCACCATCAGTTTCGCAGTGGTTGGCTTTGTTGTCATCGTCTTCATAGTTGTCTTCGTCCTGCTCGTCGTCATCATGGCCCTTCGTGATTTTCGGCAGAAGCATCATCACCATCACCTGGGTCACTATCTGGGTCAACGCCAGTACTTCCTTCATCAAAGTAGGAAATTTCGAATTTGCTGGTTGGCGGACTATGACGATTACAAGCAGCGCCATGTCTTCAGCATTGACATTTTACGTTCCTCTTTCTGCTTCTTCACCCCTCTGCCTGTTTGGGCAGTTCTGATCCTCGTTTCTGCTACTTGGAGGATCATGGGACTTAGTAACTAAGGTTATAAGTTCCTTAATTGGGGGTTATAAGTAGGTATAAGTAGAGTTACCCTAATTATAACCCTAGTTACTAAGTCCCATGATCCTTCAAGTACTGGTGTTAGAGCTACTTGCGTTGCAGTCTTCAGTCTTCCTCGGTATTTCGTGGTTGCTTTGTAAATGCTCTGGACACAGCAATACTCCTCTCCCATCCGAAAATGGCTAGGTTCAAGTCCCGTGTGTACGAAAGCCATTACGTCTAAACCAGTACCGGGGTTTTGGGGCCTGCAGGACATTTGTGAAGCCATGGGCACTCGTGCAGACAACGGCGAGCTTGTCGGCACTTTTGGCGACTTTGGTATCACCTCGTTGCCCGATGCGGATGTTAGGTAGGCCTGCCAACTATATAGGCTAGCTCCAACCAGGGTGCCCCGTTAAAACCCCCCGAGACGGCTGATAAAGCCCCGTCAGCAACACTCTAAGACCCATGATTATTCTCCTACCCCTACACCCCTTGGGAAAAGGGTGGCCCGGAATTCCAGCTCATTCCAGCTCCACAGCCGCGCTCGATCTAAAACTCTGCGTCCTCAAAGCATGAAACTTGAAGAGTTGAGATTCTGCATCATGACCGTCTCGATGCATAGTCGTGGCTTCGTTCTGGCCGTCGCCGTCGTCGCGTCATCGTTCCCTCGTCGTTCTCCCCGTTTCTGTCGAAGTCGCCGTTGGTGTCGTTTTCGTCGCCGGCGCCGTGTTGCCGTCGTCCTCTTCGTCGTTTTCGCCGTCGCCACGGGCAGCAAAAGAAGTACTAGTAGTAGTAGTAGTAGTAGTAGTAGTAGTAGTAGTAGTAGTAGTAGTAGTAGTAGTAGTAGTAGTAGTAGTGGTTTCAACGCAGTAGTAGCAGCGCAGTAGACAGAACACGAGGAGGAAGAAGGCAGTCAGAATCAGACTCAAGATCAGGCTGTATGCCAACAAGCCGATCACGGCCGGAGACGGCGGCTGGGTGCATGCGCGCGAGAAGAAGCACCTCGAAAACTTAACCCTCAACCCTAAACCCCTAAACCCCTCGACCCTAAACCTCTAGACTCTAAACCCCTAAACCCCTAAACCCCTAAACTCTAAAGCCCTGAACCCGGGAAACTCCCTGCACTCCTAAACCCTAAAGTGTTATTGGGACGGTGGGACTTGGGGACTTTGGAGACTCCGGGATCAGGCAGTCAGGTCGTTTGGGGTTTAGGGTCAGGGTTAGGGTGAAGTGTTTAGGCTTTCGGGGCTAGGGTTTGGGGTTCGGGGCTTAGGTTTTAGAGTTTGGGGCTTGAGGTTAAGGGTGCTTAGGGTTTAGGGTTGTCTTCATGGAGTTTGGCTGCTCCCTTTGCCTTACTTCGGGTTAGGGTTGAGGGTTTTAGGTTTTTACTGTGTGGGGTTTTAGGGTTTAGGGTTGCTACATTCAGAAGCACCGCGACTGCGTGACAGTCACAGGTCTCTGCTGACACGGTTGACAATGTACTGGATGACCGCTAGACTCAGCTGAGGCACCATGATCGGCTGAAGTCTCTCATTAACCATGGTTTCGACGCCCCGGCTGGAAGTGAGGATGTCGTTAAGCCCGCAAGCTCGACGGCTAGAAGCCTAGAACCCTGAACCTCGACCCCTGGGCCCTAAACCCCAAACCCGACGTCCTCAGCCCTAAACCCCAAGACAGTCATATATATATATATATATATATATAGAGACCCTTATAGCATTGTATTGAGGGGACCCTCGTAACATCCTTAAAGAAGCCTTCTACTTAAGATCATGGGACTTAGTAACTAGGGTTATAATTAGGGTAACTCACTTACAACTACTTATAACCCCAATTAAGGTACTTATAACCTTACTTACTAAGTCCCATGATCCTCCAAGTAGCTTTCAAGCCGAAGGGGCTTTGGGCTTGAGGATTGGTTTTACGGGTCTTCAGAGAATTTGGGGGGTTTAGGATTACTAAGGTTTCGAGGGTTCGGTGGTTTTCGGGTTCGAGGGCGTTTATGGTTTGAGGGTTTTTAGGTTTTTGAGGGTTTTCGGATCTTTCCACAGTTTTAGGGCTTGCAGGGTTTAGGGCTTCAAGCCTGGGGTTTCAGGGTTGACTTCAGGAAGAAAGTGTGGGGCAGAAAGGCTTCAAAGTTTGAAGGATTTCGGGGCTGCCTGACGCATCGTGGACAAGACCCATTCTCGAAGCCCCCAAGTCCCTGCCGACCCAAGCCAGCACCAATAACACTCTCAACCCAGAAAAACTTCGCCAAGCTCTCCGATCCGAAGGCCTCTGCACTACCCTAAACCTTAAATTCCGACAGAAACCAACCCCAGCCACTAAAAACAAAATTCACTCACTCACTCACTCACTCACTCACTCACTCACAGCATATCGGACCGATATGCTGTGAGTGAGTGAGTGAGAACAACAAAACTAAACCTCTAAATCCTTAAGCACCTCAGGATCCAGCCTATCACTTTCTGCACTTCGAGACGGCGCCCAACGCAAAGATGAATGGCTTGGGAGCAGCTTTTGTTTGCTCGCAGGCCGGGGATATGAAACCGGTGGCTGCATAACTAATTAAAGCAACCAGAGAAGCTATAGGGGCCAGGGTACAATGTTAGTAGTATAAAATACTACTAGTGCGCATGAATAATGTACATATTGTGTTTAGAAAGTCGAAGCCAGGACGGCCGGGGTCAGGAACGCCTCTCCTGACACTTCAAGCAGGGAGTGCGGGTGTAGGTTTTTAAGGTGTTGGGGCTTTAGGGTTTAGGGTGTTAAGCGTTTTAGGGTTTGGGATGTTAGGGGTTTGGAGTTTAGGGTTCAGGGTGCTAGGGTTTTTGGGTTTAGGGTTTAGGGCGTGAGTGTTCATGTTTGGGGTGTAAGAAAGAACAGTTGCAGCTTTAGGGATCTGAAGCTTGTGAGGTTGTCAAGCTCTCGAGTAGAGAGGCCCGAGTACTTTTTAGTAATCGCATCCCCTCATAATCCTCATATGGCTATTCTCTACCATACTGTACTCTACGCTACCATACTGTACTCTACTAGACTATACTGTATCACAACACCTGTTCTAATTATGGAAGGCAGCTTTGTTCTTGGAGTCTGCGGCCGTGGATCCATAAAGCTGCATCGGGTGGTCTGGGGGATGAGTGTCGCGCTTTGAGCAGAGAAACCCCAAGGCTCCAACTCACTTACAATATCGTATAGTATAGCATAGTATAATATAATGTAGTTTTGTATAGCATAGTTTAGTATAGTCTAGTATAGTATGGCATGGTATCATATGGTACAGCATAGTAGCCCTTATCTGTGCCGGCTTGGACAGGTGAAGATGCTGCCTCAACTCATGCAGCATCGAGGCCGCGAGGGCTTGGCCCATGACTTAGGCCGCAGGCTCTTCGGGTTTAGGGTTTAGGGTTTAGGTTCCTGAAGACCCAAAGTGACCCCTAAAACTGAAAACTCAACCCCTCAAGCCCTTAATCCCCCAAATCCACCAGAGCCTCCAAAATGCTAATCATAGGAGGCCAAAAGGGGTTTTAACCTATGGGGGTTTAGTAGGGATTAGGGTTCCCATAATAGGGTTCATATTAAGGAATCCCTGCCCCAAGAATCTTAAACCCCCCCTTTTGGCCTCCCATCAGCTAAACCCGAAACCACCGCCCCCCAAAGCCCCAAAACCCTACTTGGAGGATCATGGGACTTAGTAAGTAAGGTTATAAGTACCTTCATTGGGGTTATACGTGTTATAAGTAGAGTCACCCTAATTATAACCCTAGTTACGAAGTCCCGTGATCCTTTAAGTAAAATGGGGCATCCTTCTTCCCCCGAGTCTCCGGCCCAGGGGACTCAGGGGTTCGAAGTTTCAGGGTTTGGGGTTTCGGTCTCAGGGGGGTTAGGCTTTGTTTGGGGTTTAGGGGAGAGGGTTTAGGGTTTAGGGTTTAGGGATTAAGTAGGGGGGAGGGTTGAGGTTTTAGCGTTTAGGGTTTAGGGGAGAGGTTTTAGGTTGTAGGATCCTGAAGCCCCAACTTGGAGCCCCGAACCCATAAACCTGAAACCTTCACCCCTGAACCCTAATCGATAGTCTGGATGCTGCGAGGCGAAAAGACACGAGGGTTAAACAAAAAGAACCCTAATCAACCTTGAAAATTGTACCGGAGCCTTGCTGTAAAGCACAGGCTTCCTGTGCGTTTTATCTTTTGTGTGTAAAATTGCGGGCGAGGAGAGTTCAGATGGCTGTCTTCAATCAGTGGTCGGCTTCCGAACTCTTAGAAGGGTCTTAGAGACCTCTTGGTTTCCTATCATTTTTTTCCCCACCTGCGAGTTGCGGTCTAACTGCTTAAAAACCCTAAACCCTAAACCTTAAGTTCATTGCAGTTCTTGGGGTTCGGGGTTTGATAGCCCCGAGGCCCTCCGCGTACTAGGGCCTTCGGGTTTATGCCCAGTCCCATGGTCAACTCAATGCCGGGTTTAGGGTTTAGGGTTTAGCTGAACTCTGATACTGGGTTTCGGGACGCCTTTCATCCTAACCCGCTTGGAAGGCCACGTGGCGTCGTGGTACCGGGAGGGTCTGGCCGGCATCGAGGGCCTCTCCTGCATTGAGCAGAGGCCAGCGGCTTTCGGGTTCGGGACGATTTGGTAGTGTGGGAACCTGATTAGGAACCTTGGGCCCTTATTAGGGTTCCTTATATGAATCCTCCTATTTTGGGGGTGATAGGCCCAGGGTTTCTTAATCAGAATCCTACATTAGCCACTTCTTGTTCCCAACAGGATCGCTGTATAATATAATGCACGATATGCCGCCAAACCCCTGTATTCACGGTTCAGGGTAGAATTGGGAAGCCTTAAAGCCCATACCCGATAAATGCCGCAACTCCCATCCGTAGTAGGGAGCGATATCAAAGAAGCCGTCCACAAAAAACTCTGGGGCTCATAACCGCAAGAACGCTACAAGGCCCTAATCCTTAACCGAAAAGGAGGCGATTCTTTCTTGCGATACTAACGACGCACCCCAAAACTCCATACTAGCAAACCCTAAACCCTAAACCCTACCGGTATTGCCCCGTAGGCAAGTCGATGCTCCATGGGTCTTCGGTGTGGAGACGCGGGATCGGAAGAACCGGGATGCCCTGCGCGACCACCTTGCAGCTCACGGCATTGAGACCAGGAGCACTCTCAAAACCTACCATAGGGGCCTTAATAATTGGAATAGGGTTTCGGGGTCTACTCTACTGTACTCATAATAAGGAACCCCCAAAAAAGTATAGGTATCATTAGTTCCTTGAAGAGTTTAGGATCTCCATTTCGATTGGTGATCGGAGAAGGGCCGTCGGACAAAGCATTGAAAGCCTTCACCTTTGGCCGGTGTAGGTTTTGAGGCTTTGGGTTTAGGGTGCCCTAAACTCGAAACCCCAGGCGCTAAACCCTCGACCTTAAAACCTAAATCCCTAAACCCACCAGGAATTATTTCTACCCCCTCCACCTGGAGCCCGTGAACTTCTACGGGGACGACGTGGGGATTTATGACGTGGAGCTGCCCAACTCCGAGCACTTGGCTCAGGCCTTGGCACGTCGCGGTGAGAGAGGGAGTTGAGAGTTCAGGGCCTAGGGGTTCGGGGTTTAATGGGTTGAGGGTTTAAGGGTTTCGCGGTTTAAGGTTTGGGGTTTGAGATAAGGTTTGAGGGTTTGGGGTTTGGAGTTTCGAGCTTGAGGTATGGGGTTGCAAGTTTAGTCAAATCTAGTTTTTAAGGTTACTGGCCTGGGCTTTTCTGCATACGGGGATAAGCCTTCATGTTTTAATTACTAGGGTTTAGGGTTTAGGGTTTAGGGTTTAGATCGGGTCTTTGGCAAATTTTGTGGGTTCTGTAGGGTTAGGAGCCCAGAGTTCGGGGAAAGGGGCTTAGTGATTCGTTACTTAAAGGATCATGGGACTCAGTAACTAGGGTTATAATTGAGGTAACTCTACTTATAACTACTTATAACCCCAATTAAGTCCCATGATCCTCCAAGTAAGTCGTGGTCACAGGTGCAACTACCGTGTAATATAGGGGCTACCTGGCACGCACTGCTAGCAATGCCCTCGGTGATCAGACGCCTATCAACGATTGGGAGTGTAGAAGCCTGAATAAGTGGACGTGCGTTTTGAGGTTCGAGACTTCAAGCTTACTTGGGATAATCGCGAAATTGGAGGAATGATCTTGCATATTATTCATGCGCCTTTGCTGACCGTCATTGGGCGAAGCCTCTCCATAGGTGGGCTTCTACCTGCCCACGCACTCCTTCTTGGAGCGAGTGGACACGCAGTACATCTGAAGCTTGGACAGCGAGTAGCAGGGCTCTTCCTCCAGTGCTTAGGAGTCCATAGCGGTCGCAAAGGAGCTCCCGGTATTTAGCCTCGGCCTCCCGGTCTCAGAACGCTCATGGGGGCCCGCGCCATGAGTACGAGTGGTACCCATGGGGTTTTAGGATTTCGGGTTCATGTTTTACTGTTGGACTCCTGCAGATCGGTCTTGTTTACGAGTTAGCTGCGCTGTTGCAGCTGTAGTCCCAAGAGCCTTTTCGGGCCCCTCTCTTGTTTCAGACTCCAAGGCTCTAGCACTCTAAACCCTAAACCCTTAACCCTAAACCCTAAACCTCTCGCTTGAGACTCTAAGGCTCTGTCATCAAGGCCTACTTTCAGCCGGCCTCGGTGGTCGGCGAGTCCCCTCGGAGCAAGGGCTGGGCCGACAAGGAGAGGAGCAAGATTTTGCAAGCCAGCTGAGCAAGCATGCACGGAGAAAAAGAATGCCATTAGCTGCACCGAGCTTCAAGGGCTGCATATGGGAGTTTCCGAAAATAGGGGACCCTAGTATAGTACCCTAAATATTAGGATCCTTATCATAAGGACCCCAAAATAAGGTACCCCCCCCTATTTTTCGGAAACCACCCATATTCGCAGCGACTTAGAGGCCGTAGTCGATGTAATCCGCAGAGCGCCTTGAGCTCCTGAAGCTCAACGAACTTGCCTAAAGACTTAGTAAGGGTTATAATAAAGGGCTCTTTAAAAGGGGTCTATAGGGGCTCCTTAAAGGGATCTTTGGGGTTTAGGGTTTAGGGTCTACTTAAAGGATCATGGGACTTAGTAACTAGGGTTATAATTACGGCAACTCTACTTATAACTACTTATAACTCTAATTAAGGTACTTATAACCTTACTTACTAAGTCCCATGTCCTCCTAGAAAGCCTTACGCCTGAATCCTTGAGCCCTGAATCGGAGACTCGATCTCTTCCTGCACCCTCCTTGAAAGGGCAGGGGACTTAGTAAGTAGGTTATAAGTAGAGTTATAAGTACCTTAAATGGAGTTACCCCAATTATAACCCTACTTATGAACGACTTACTACGTCCTTCCAAGTACCCGACTAAACTTCAACTCCAAACTCGAAGACCCAAACCCGACCCTAAGCTCCAAACTCCCTACAAACAAAAGGAAACCCCGGACCCTAAGACCAAAACCTTCCCAAGCCCTTGATCCGACATCCGAAGCGCTAAACCCTAATCCCTAAACCCCAAACTCCAATCCTACATGGGCGTTTGTCAGAATCATGGTCCCTTTTGGGTCCCTGTTATAATACGGCACCTAGTATTTAGGGTACCCAAAAAGGGACCCTAATTTTGACAGCCACCCACATGTTAGCTCCTAGACCTCTTAAGCAGTAGAGATAGAGCTCACCAGGACTGAACTCCCAAGCCTAAACCCTGAACTTGCAACCATATGGTACTGTGTATTGGACCAATGGAATCATTCGTTCATTTGCTGATTCATTCATTTCCGAGGGATATATATATATACATATATAAATATATATGTGTACATATATATATATATAGGTATGTTGATGATGATGATGACGATGATGATGATTATGATGAAGATGATGATGATGATGATGATGATATTATTTGGAATATACATGGCAAGTCGCCCTAAACCCCAAGACCTAAACCGGAGACTCCCCTGTCCTCCTCAGAGGCAGCTGCACTATGCTCGACGCTGTCCGCGCGGCTGGACAAACAGGCAGTGTTTACGGTTTAGGGTTCTTTTAGGGTTTAGGGTTGTTTTAGGGTTTTGGGTTCTTTGGGTTTGGGGTCAGTTTTGAGTGCTTAGGGTTCTTCTAGTTTAGGGTTTATGATTTTGGTTTAGGGCTTTGGCCAGGGAGATCTGGCTGCCAAACCCAAAAACACAAATCCGCGCCCCAAACCAAACCGCAAAGCAGCACTATCCTAAAACCTCCCGAACTTGAAAGATCTGGGGGGGGGGGGCAGGATTTAGGACTTTGGGTTTAGGGTTTAGGCTCTAGTTTTGATTTGCGGGTTGGAGTTTAGGACGTAGTTCTTGGTGAGTTAGCAAGTACCGTAAGTTAGCTACTGGGGTCACAAGTCCCCCTTACATGTTATCAGCCTGGTGCCCCGATCATAAAGCTCCGTATAGATTATGCAATCAGCCTCGCCTACACCGCCAACGCCTTTTGATCACGATACTTTTACGAAACCACACAGACTGGTCACCAGAAAAGTTCCCTTTCCCCAAAACCCTTTAGATTCCACTACGAGCCTTCTGATGCCGAGCCCTCCCTGATCCTAAGCACCAAAAGAAGTCCGTCTAAGCACTCTAGAAGTCCGTCAAGCGAACGGCACGCTTTAAGCCCCCTCATCCTGACTAAAGCCTGCGAAAATTCACACGCGAACCCCAAGCCTTTAAGTCCCTAAACCCTAAACCCAAAACCATAACCTTAACAACCCTGAGCCCAAATCCTCTCGACCATATAAATCTCTGCAAGGACGAGGCCCCCTGAAACGCCCTACCAAGCAGCCCCAAACCCTGACCCCACAAACCTTTAACCCCTAACCTTTAAAGCCCTTCAAGCCCTAAAACTCAAAGCCCTAAAACCCTGAAGCCCCAAAACCTTGAGACCTTTGAGCAATCAGCCCTTATAGGAACTGAGGAAGCCTTATCGGAACCTCCGACACAAGCTTAAAGGAACCCTTAAAGAGCCCTTTAGGAAGCCTTGTAGGGGACCGTACAGCCGCCTTACAGCAGGAACCCTTACAGGGAAGCCTTCCAAGAAGCCCTAAGCACCCCAAAACTCCAAACCCAACCCTAAGCCCTAAACCCTAAGCCCTAAACTCTAACCCTCCTGGCCTTTAGGCCTTTCTAGCAGCCGCCTGGAGCAGCAGTTAGGAAAAAGGAGTTCAAAAAAAACACCCTAAGTCCTAAACCCTAAACCCTACATCCTAACCCCTTAAAGCACAACCCTGGAGCGGAGGTGGATCTTAACGAGACACTCTACCAAAGACTTCGGGCCAGCGAGGCCCACGGCGTTTTTTGTTGTTGTTTTTTTTTTTTTTTGAGGGGTTGCCTTTGTCAAGGGGTCACGAGGAACTTTTCTCATGGGTTTTGTGCAGACATCAGAATGAGGAGTTGCGGTTCTTGTTGATTTTTTTTTGTTGGGGCTGTGTGGCCTGAGGAAGGATTTTGTGACGTTTCGAGGGATCTAAACGCGTCTCAGGTCTGGTGACAGCATTCTCAGGTTGGCAGGCAACTCCGTTTCCGTCTGAAGATCCTACCTAACCGAAGCCCTAAACCCTCAGCCCTAAACAGCCGCAAACCCTACCAGAACCTACAAGACGCTATATGACCCGAAAGCCCTGAGCACTTGCCCCTAAACCTAGGGTTTGAGGTTCATGGTTTGGGGGTTTAAGGGTTTAGGGTTTAGGTTCATGGTTTGGGGGTTTAAGCCCAAGTCTCAAACGCTAAATCCCTAAACCCTGAAACCCCCGGGCCCTTGAAGACGGCGGTCTGAAATCGTCTCAGCACTTGCCGCCGTTGTAGTCGCGTGGCAACCATAATCACATCATTTCGAACTAAGTGCTATAGGGGCCTTAATAATTACGTATGCTACTTTGGGGGCTCCTAATTATAGTTACAGTATAATGGGCCCCAAAACCCTATTCTCATCATTAAGGCCCCTATATTGCAAGCACTCTTGATCCCTTGATCCTGAATCCCGAACCTTACACCCGGAACCCTGGACCCTAAAGATAGAACCCTAAAGCCCTAAACGATACTCACCCCTAAAGCCTCAATCCGTAAAACCTAGAGCCTTAAACCTTATCTCTTTCACCCTGATCCCCTTGCCCTAAACCCTAAATCCCAAACCCTAAACCCCAAGCCCTAAACCCTAAGCGTCAAACCCTTAAACCCAAAACCCCAAAGCCCAAAGCGCGAAGTCTCCTTTCGAAAAATGCGGAGGCCGAGGCGCATGGCCTTCGGATCGAGATGGAGGAGCTAAGTTGAAGGGTTTTAAGGGGCTCCTATAAAGGATTCCTAAAAGGATCCCCTTAAAGGCTCCCCCAAAGGATTCCTCAAAGGATTCCTCAAAGGATGCCTCACAGGATTCCTTCGAGCATTCCGAAAAAATCCCTTAAAGGATCCCTTATACAGGAGACCTTAAAGGATACTCTAAAGGATCCTAAGGCTTCCTTTCCGGGTTCCTTCGATGGGGCCTTTACGGGCTCTTTAGGGTTCGTGTAGGGGCTGTAGGGTTTAAGAGTTTAAGAGTTTAAGGACTTGGGGTTGGGAGCTGCAGGGTCTTGAGGCTATAAGGGTTGGTTCAGGATTTCAGGTACTTGGAAGGGCAGGGGACTTAGTAAGTAGGTTATAAGTAGAGTTATAAGTACCCTAAATGGAGCTACCCCAATTATAACCCCACGGATGAACGACTTACTAAGTCCCCTGCCCCTCCAAGTAGAGTTGGGGTGTTCGAGTTTAAGCCTAGGAATGGCAGCTCTGAGGTTGGAGCATAGGATCCCTAGTATGATTTAAGGAATATTCCTTAATTAAGGGATATTGGAGTCTCTGGGAATAAGGTCGTAGGGTTTAGCACGTCGGGTTTCAGGGCTTTGGTTTGCAGAGTTTCAGGGTTCTGACAAGTCCTAACCAAAAGCTCGGAGCCGTCAATGAGGTCCTGAGGGCTGCGGGGTCCAGGGGGTGGAGTTTTGAAGAGCTAGGCTTTGGGGGTTTCGAGTTTAGGGTTTAGGGTTGTGCTTTAAGGGGTTAGGGTTTAAGGCTTTGGGGGTTTCGGGTATTTTAGGGTTGGGTTTGGCGTCGGCGAGGGCCGACTGCCGAAGATTCCATTCTGGTGTCAGAGCTGACGGGGACTTAGTAAGTAGGTAATAAGTAGACTTATAAGTACCCTAAAAGGGATCCTAATTGGGGTTATGACACATAAGCTGACAATCGGCTGAAATGCTTCAGTGAGAAGGTTTGGCATTGGAGGCTATGTGGCTATTTTCGCAACAGAGGCTTGCTTGCAGGATCGAGGGACCTGGCAGGGAGTGGGCTGCTTGACTAGGATGACGTGTAACAAGGGCAGCGGGATGTATATCCCTTACCCTTTCGTGAGTTTGGTTGCATGTAGTAACTGCTTATTACAGTCAGGCTGCCCCCTAAAGGGCTAGACCCCATATCCTAAACCAAAACCCAGAGCACCTATCAGCCTAAACCCCGAAGCCCAAAAGACTTGCACGCAGAGTTTTCGCAGCTTCGAAGCCCAGGAGCTCCGACGCGGGGAAGAGCTCAGGGCAGAGGCCCTGGCGTCCAAAGAGGCGCCATATCGGCTCTTGACTCTGCTTGGAAGGGCAGGGGACTTCTACTAAGTAGGTTATATGTAGAGTTATAAGTACCTTAAATGGAGTTACCCCAATTATAACCCTACTTATG